GATATTAAGCTAAACACTCTGACTGAAACAGAGAGTTTTAAGTCTGGTGTTGTTGGGTCGAAGACAGATCCCGAGTTGGGCCGCAGCGATCAACTCAAGCCCACGAAGACTTTGCCATTTGAAATCAGATCGAAACCTGAGATTGTGAACTGCGGTAAAAGAGCCGTTGCAGAGGAAGCTTCGCGTAAGGTGCTCGAGACGACAGCTCATCGTACGGCCGGTCAAATCAAGATCTCGAACCGATTTGAGCTCCTGTCAAAACAGTGACTACGATTCTGACATCTGTCAGAGTGAAGAGGAAACCCTAAAGCTAAATTCCTGTATAAATAGGCCTTGAGCTTACTTTGTAAGTGAACAGAGATGGATCAATAAAAGAACTCTTTTCTCATCAAGCTTCAAGCTTTATCCTTCATTTCTTACATGGACCTGGGGTGTTGCTTGGACTAGCAATACCACAAGTCATTGCTTCATACAAACCAGAGTGGCTGGCCAAGATAATTGGTCCGACTAAGCGCAGAAACCGTTAAGAGTTGTTTTTCTGGTATCGAGTTTGATCGTTCCATGTCTGTCAACTAGTTGTTGGTCTTGTATTGAAGCTTTCCTTTGTGTTTGTTGTATCTTTATATGTATAATAATCATGCATGTTTTATTTCTTTTTCTATAAAGTAAGAACGGTAACTCTCTGTAGTCATTCTTTTCTCTTTCTAGATAAGGGTTTAGGGTTTAGTAACGAAAGATTAGAGCGATCCACTCAGTAACAATTAACGAAGATGTAAAGAGCTTAAATAATGCATTATTGAGAAATTACGTTAAACTATGAATCGAAGTCAAACAACAAGACAGCTACATAAGCTGAACAGAATCAGAACACCCAAAAAATCAGAGATCTATAACATATTTTTTGATGCGAATAAACATGAGGAAAGCTGAGGCTACAGGTGGTGTTTGGATCGGTTGCAATAGCACAACCGATCTTTCCTTTGATCTTTGATTGTCTACCTATTAGTTGATGTACTTGTAATATGAAGTCGTTCTTTCTGTTTTTCTTATTTCTTTATCCAATCCTTTAGTGTGTGCTTTAAATCAAAAAGATGAATCTTTTGTATTCATATTTATTTACAAGAAAAGGATTCAAGAAAAAAGCATGATTCCTGTATACGAAAATGAAACAGAGAGGATCACAACATATTTGTAAGACCTAAAAAATGCAAAAGACAGAATTTTTCGGAACTCTGAACAACCACAATTTCACATATAGAAGAGAACACAGAGACATACAAAATGAAAATCAAAAGCTAAAAAAATGCAAAAGACAGAATTTGATCCAAAACCATCTTGTGTTTGATCCAACGGGGATTATAATATATTAATTATGAGAAAAATCAAAGATTTTTTTAGTTGCTTTGGCTCCACGTTGTTTAGGTTATTATGATGGTAATAAAAAGGGATTGAGAAAATTCCTTATTTATTAACAGATTTTTTTTTTTTTTGGTTTTACGGAAATTTAAAGTGGTGACTATTGACTACACATATTT